AAGGAGCGGCTCTTGTCCGCAGGCTCGCCGTCGCCGGGGCCCGAGCGTCCGCGGGACAGCGGCGCCGAGCGGCAGGCGGGCGCCACGAAGAAGAAGACGCGCACGGTCTTCTCGCGCAGCCAGGTATACCAGCTGGAGTCCACGTTCGACATGAAGCGCTACCTGAGCAGCTCGGAGCGCGCCTGCCTCGCCTCCAGCCTGCAGCTCACCGAGACGCAGGTCAAGACTTGGTTCCAGAACCGCCGCAACAAGTGGAAGCGGCAGCTGTCGGCCGAGCTGGAGGCGGCCAACATGGCGCACGCGTCGGCGCAGACTCTGGTGGGCATGCCGCTGGTGTTCCGGGACAGCTCGCTGCTGCGCGTGCCCGTGCCGCGCTCGCTCGCCTTCCCCGCGCCGCTCTACTACCCCAGCGGCAACCTCTCGGCCTTACCGCTGTACAACCTCTACAACAAGCTCGACTACTGAGCCGCCGCCGCCCGGGCCCCCAGCGCGGGCCCCCTCGGCCGGCCGGCCCTGCGGCCAGTCTCCTGCAATTTATACACCATGTGTATCCATGAGCTCTTATTTATGGCCTCAGCTCTCCTTTTTCTTTTGCTTATTTCGAGTATTTATAGGCATTTCTCAAGCCAGATCGCCTGCTTTCGACCCACGCCGACCAATACAATTTGGAAAACATTTTGGAGGGGGAACTTTCTCTCGTGGTGGCGGGAGGGGAGGGGCCGTTTGGGCCACATCAGTCTTGCCTGGTAGACTTGGAACAAGGAGACACAGAGAGAGAAAAGACCACCAATAAAACCAGGCCCACCTCCCACCACGCCCCATATATACGCCTGTATATATGTACATGTACATACGCTTGGCCAATCCAGCCCCTCGGAGGCTTCTGGACAATGATCGAATCGACTTTCTTTTTTCCGTTTCCCCTTTCCCCAGGATGGGTAGGGGCGAAAGTAACGATTTCAGACTTGTAAATATTTTTAAAGAGGAGGGGGAAAATAAAACATTTTAAACATTCTTTGCTACCTTTGATGGGGTTGATTCCGGGGTGTGCTAACACGCAAAGGGTTTCTCGATTTACCGTGGAAGCGTTTACAGTCCTCCACGTGGGGCCAGGCTGGGATAGACCCAAGTGGAGGGTGGGGCCAGGGCCAGGGCTCAGAGGTCGGGACCTTGGCGACACCTCCCACCCCTACCCCCTCAGGGAGCTGACATCCTGGCTCAGGACTGTGGCGCGCTCTCTGGAGTCCGCGCGGAGATGGATAAAGGCTGGGAGGCGGGCCAGACTGCTGGGCACTGCGACCTCCGCTGGGGAGCCGGGCAGAGCCCTGGCAGCCTCGTGCCCGCACTGGGATTGCTTTGGGCTCGGCCGCAGCTTTGTGCCCGGGGCTTCCCGTTCCAGAGCGCGGAGACCGCCGAGCGGCGCTGCGCGAGCCGAGGCAAAGCTCCTGTTTGGTGCGGAGCGCGGAGCCAGGCGCGACCGACTCTGCAGCCGCTCCCCGGCCCTGGGCCACGACTCGGGTTCGCGTCCCGCGCGACGCGGGAACTCGATGGGAAGTCCGCGCTTCGGCGGAGGAGGGATCGGAGGCTACTCGCTGATTAATCAAAATAGGAGCGTGAGCCCAAGGCGCCTGTCCCCAACTTTGGCGATGAAGAGTTCGCAAGGTGCGTGGCGAAGCGACCAGATCACCGGCCAGTACGCTGCGGCTCGCGCTGCTGGAGCCAAGACGCGCAGCCCGGGCGCCCACGCCCAGAAACACCTGCCGCCGCACGGGGCCCGGGAGCGCGCCGATCCCAGGGAATAGACCCAGGAGTGACATGCAAATCAGTCTCTCGAGCCCGCGCCCTTTGGGCCACCTGTTCCTTCGTAATGCGTGGGGAAAGGAAACCTCAGCACGGAGCAGGGCCAGCGTTCAGGGCCCAGAGAAGCGAACTCTTTGGTCCTTTATGCCCGACCCCCGGGGACCCTCACGCTGGATGATTCTTGGGGTCTGCAGCACTGGGACCTGATCTCAGCCATGAGAAGGGTGTGTGTGATAAACTTGGTCCTTTGCGCTGAGAACCGTCGATATCACCTTCGTTTTGTAATAATCTGTAAGATAGCTGTAAACCGACTGAGAACGACTAAAAACTGCCTGTCGAATACGAGTCTGATTTTGTTCATCTTGAGGCGATCTATAGATTTCTTCTTCTCACAACAGATTACATTTAAAAATTCCAGTCTATCCCAAAGCGATGCCAGGATGGTGCTCAGAACACACATCTGCCAGGAAGCGAACTCCAGTGCTTTCGTTTCATTTCAACGCAGTGCAACTCAATCTATATAGTTGCCAGGCCCTGGTCAATGCAGAGCACTTCTCTAAATAGGAAATAGTCCAAGGGGAAACAAAAGCCACTGGAGTTCTGTTTTCTTATTTCTGATTCACAGTGCACACATTTTTTTTAAACTGAAGTTCTCGCCTCCTATTTGATCCCTTTCGAATCAAATGCCTAAGGAAATCACGCAGAAATAACCAAGTTGTCTCTAGAACCTCATGCCTAGGAATAGCCCACCGGTACCCGTATTTGCTTGCATTTCACTAGATAGGAGTTGTGATGGTTTAGACAATGCCTGGTCACTGAATAGCGCCCCACCCTTACTTTCCTTAAAGGAAGCAATTTCCTCTAGCCCCTGTCAGTCAAGGCACTTCAGGGAAATAACCCTTTCTCTGTCTTGAAGTGTTTATTTGACTCTTTTTACCAATCGAGAAATTAGCCATCAAAGGTGACCCAACGGTGTGGTTAATTAGTGCTAGGAAGTTCTTTCTTACAGGTAGCTAAGTATGAGCACAACGGAAATAGACTTTGCATGTGGATTTCAAATGTTACTCAAGACTCCACCAAAAGCAGCTTGCCTATCTCAAGACCATCAATTCATTTGAATAATCAACAAAACCATCAACCTTCTCTCAAACTCTCAACTAGATTTAAAAGACTGACATCTCCTGAAACTCAAATAGAGTCCGCCTGCAACTGCGAGCCTGGGGGACCTGAATCATGCACACACAGGATAATGAAATACACTTAGATTTTATTAGCGGGTCATTCTTGCTCAGCCTCGCCAAACACTAATAGAATTAAATAAACAACGAGGAGAGGGAACCAAATAAGCCAGGAGAAAAAATTATTTAGCTAAAGTTAAAATGGAGGCAAAGATCACCGCCCGCCCTCTCTTTTCCTTTCCTTTTTAAAATTCTGAACTTGGCCATTCACTTGTTGATAGAGAAGGTGTGGAGAGTTAAGTATGAGGTTGTGTGTGTGTGAAGGGCAATCATCTCTTTTAGCAGTAGTATCACCAGTGGCAGGGCAGAGGGAGGTTGCTGTGTGTGTGTGTGTGTGTGTGTGTGTGTGTGTGTGTCTGTGGTAGCAGGAGTCAGAAAAGGGGTATGTGTGCCTGATTCAGGGTGTGTGAAGGCAGAAAGAGCACACAACACTCCTTCTTAGTGCACCTTAAAAGTTGAGCCCTTCAACCTCAACAATATCCCCCCACTTCATACAAAATCAAGTAATAAAGTGAGGTTTTTATTCCTTCACAAAAGGTAGTGAAAAGGGACAAAGAGCATAGATTGAATTAAACATTTGCAGAGAGTGTTTTACGATTCAAGAGTCACTGAGTCACTGCATTCCAGTGAGCGATTAAATATTGAGGTCCTTTCATGTGGAGAGAGATGGGGCTTTCTACTTCCTAAGGTATTACAGGATGGGAAACCCACAGGACAGTTCTACCCTGTCCTACAGGGTCGTTATGAGTAGACATCTATCTACTTGGCAGTGAGTTTGGTTTGTGTTTTTCCTTTCATGACAATCAAATCACTTGATCAAATCACTTGCACTGACTGAAGAACCCATATTGATCTTTGTATTTTCAGAGGATTCAAGAAACAGCAAAGGGTATAAACCAGGAGCTAGCAACTCTGGGGAGTAACTCACACCCATCAAGTGAATTCTGATGTACCCCTTACAGAGTAGAACTGCCCCCTTTGGGTTTCTGAGACTAGATCTTTGCGGGAATAGACAACCTCATCTTTCTCCCGTGGAGCGCCTAGGGCCTTCGAACTGCTGACCTTGTGGTTAGTAGCCCAATGGGTAACTCACTCCTTACTCTGAGGAGTAGCAGGGCAATTTAAGACCCTACATCAACATCATCTCCTAAATGTGTCTGAGCCTTAACAGGTTACAGTCATCCTCGGGCTGTGTGCATCCATGTGGTCTATCCCCACTGGGCAGGCTGCAATGACTAGTGTGTTGAACACACCTCTCCCAGAGCCTCTCATCAGACCTGGCACCCAGCAGGCACTCTAAAGGTGTTAGCAGATGATGAAACTGAGGAAGGAAACAGTATAAACAAGGAAACACGTCTCTGAGACCACTCACATTCAAGACAATGCGAAATGTGAGACCCTTGTTCTTAGGGGGACACTCCAGGGAATGGGGGCAATGGGGTAATTAGGTCAAAATATTTTGATTGGAATCAGGTTCCTTTTCCATCCTAGTTTTTAACAAATTCACGGGCTCTTTATGAGTACTGACTAAAAAAAGATTCTTATGCCTAGGAGATTGGGTTTAGGAGTGCGCTATGAAAAGCGCTAGAAGGAGCATATGTCCGGATTACTATTCTGAGTCCCGGCAGGGCGTCGGCCAAGGAGGACTACATCTCCCAGCGTGCCCCAAACAGGCAGGAAAGAACGTGAGATCCGCTCTTGCGCGATGTTCGCTGGGAGTTGTAGTTTTCATCTGCCCAGCCCTTGCGTGGGCGCCTCTTCCTCGAGGTGCAGCGAGACCATGTGACCGGAAGAACCGCTGTTTCCCTTTGAGCCGGAACTAGATGACTGATTGACTGACGAGGGAGGGGCATTGAGCGGACCAATCGGTTGTCTAGAGTGAGACGTTGGCGTTTGAAACCAGCCAATGGTAGCCATCCGCTAGAGCCTTTTCTCCGCCTCCTTTGCCCAGCCCACTACCGCTCGGAAATTGGCCCTTCGGCGGGAACGGCGGCGGTGGCAGCGTTGTTTTTGAGTAGAGCTTAAGGTAGAGAACAAGGCGACGGGCGCCGAGGCGGCCTTCCGGGCAGCTCCCGGGCCCGGGGATGGCGGAACTGCCCGTCGGGGAGCCCGGTGCGCTTCCCCCGGCCTCCTCCCCAGCAGCGTACGGGCTACAGGCCTCGCGGGCGGGGTTGGGAGAGGGGGTGGCCGCGCTGGCCGGTGGGGACGCGGGGGAGGGGCGGCGGACTGTGGCGGGAGCCCTGGCTTGGCGCGGAAGCCTAGTTGTCTGGTTTCCCGCGTGGGATCTTTTCCTGCAACCCCCCACTGTCCCGCCACCGGGCTCCCTGACCCCTCCACGCCGGGACCCGTGGGGACTTCACTGGGCTCTTCTTCCGTAGATGACCGGCTCGAACGAGTTCAAGCTGAACCAGCCGCCCGAGGATGGCATCTCGTCGGTGAAGTTCAGCCCCAACACGTCCCAGTTCCTGCTCGTGTCCTCATGGGACACGTCCGTGCGCCTCTACGATGTGCCGGCCAACACCATGCGGCTCAAGTACCAGCACACCGGCGCCGTCCTGGACTGCGCCTTCTACGTAGGTGCCCGCCCCGCTGGCCCGCACAGGGCCCCGTGGCCCCCGGGTGGGGCGCATCTGGCAGCCCCTGAGGTGGGGGTGGGGGTGGGGTGGGCACCCCCGCAGAGACTCGGCCTTCCTTTTCCGGCTGAGTACGGTAGGGTAGCCCGGTACCCTCTCTGGACGTGTGACACCTTGATTTGGAACTTGGCAGTGAATCAGTAAAATCTGACCGCCCTCGGAAGAGGAGGGTTTATAAAGGGGTGCTTCGGAACTCAGGAGCAGTGTGGTGAAGTAGCTCTAAGTGGCGCGGTCGGGTAAGCTTTGTGCAGCCTGGTCAAACCCTCTAGCACTGCTGCAGTAGAAACATGAGGCTGTTTGGACTCCCAAAGATTTACAGGCGCAAAGACCCCAGGGGTGGTGGGGGTGAGGGTGGGGGTGGTTTTTGCGGTGGCCCAAAGTGACCCTGTAGGTCAGAATCAAGGCTTTGGTGGCACAGTGAGCATGGTAGGTAGTGTCTGCCTCCATGGGACTTTGGGGCCGTTTCAGCCCAGGATATGTCATTACCAGAGCACAGACCAGAGTTAGCTGTAGGAACAGGGATTATCAAGCTTTTTAAAAAGAAAATCCCAGAAGCTTTAAATGACTTGAAAACTTTTATTTTTTAGGATCCAACTCATGCCTGGAGTGGGGGGTTAGATCATCAACTGAAAATGCATGATTTGAATACTGATCAAGGTAATATAACCACCATGTTGCTGGTGAATTATTGGGTCGGAATGTGTAGCTTCTGGGGCCTAAGGGATAAGTATTTATCTCGGAAGAGTCATTCTTAAAGTCGCCTTGGATAGAAGTAACTTGAATTGAGGACTTTTAAAATTTAACTACTGGCCGTACGTGACCCTATCAGAAAATGTTTGCTATTTGGATGTGTACATACATACACGTATACAAGGGGGCTTCAAAAGTTGGCTGAAAAATTCTGTTAATGCCAGGTTTCCACACTTGGAAGCCCTGTGATTCTGTAGTGAAGTTCATTGTGCTCTGTTCCCCAGGTGTTAGCATGAAGTAGCTCTCAGTGCTCGCCTTGGCCCTGGCCATGCACCGAGTCCTGCCGTGATGTGGGGTTCATAAGAGCTTTTCAGCACTGTCCTGGTGCTTCAGAACTCTTTCCTGCAGTTAACTTTGTTGCAGTTAAGAAAGACAGGTGGTTTGTTTTCTCCATTTCTCTAACATAAATTGCTCTTCTAGCGTTCTATTCCTGTAATTATTGAGCAGTAAGATGTGCTTCACTTGGGCTTACTGAGTCAAGAACAAGATGCCACATTTTCTTTGAGGTCCAGCTGTGAGGTGACTTGTCTCCATGGGTTTGGTGTCTTTGGGGCAGAGGCTGGAGTAGAACACTCTAGCTGAGCCTTGGTGTGGGCATGTGTGCATATTAGACATGCACAAGCTGGCACAGAGATCTGACTAAATATAGAGGAGGAGGGGACAGTGGCAAGTATGGTCTAACACTGTGTCCAAAAAACAGCACATCAAAAGAAACTGCAAGTCCCTTATAACTGATACTTGGTTGTTGTTAGCACCTTCTCGGGTAAGTTTACAGGCTTAGGTTCTGTTTGCTGGAAACTTGGGGGTGGAGAGCACGTGTTGGTGAGGGATGGGAATATTGCAAAGATGAGGGCAGAAGTGCCACTGGAAAGCAAACAGATTTGAGATCTTACCGTAATCTAGGGATCTGACCTGTGCTTTCTCTTGTAAAATAGAGTGTTTTTCAAGAAGTCGCTGGAGGGTCCAGACCACAGATTGTCCTTTGCTTTACCCTGGTGTGTGGCAGACTGTGGCACTTCCAGGACACTCCGCGATGGCTTTTGGATGAGTGGATAAGATAGTGTGAAGAGTAGAAAGAACAACATTTTGTGTTGGACGTTTGTCCCACCATGAAAAACAAAAGAACTAAGGTCCTCCCCCTCCCCCTTGCTTTCCTCATCCCAGATTCTCAGCTACTCCTGTAACCATGTACACCAGTGTCTTGTAAGCATTTGCTATAATGCTCAAGATAAGAGTTCTTCACTCACTTGTTCACTCAGCACCTACTATACACCAGATACAATCAGAGGTCCAGAGTTAAACAGAGTTCTGGGCATTAAGGAATGTCGAAGCAAGAGGGGAACATAAGAGCCAGGCAGGCCACCATATTTTTGTAGTCTGATATTCAAGGCCACCTTTGCAGTTGCCCTGCAGTGGATTGAACTCTGTTCAGTAAGGTGAAGAGAGACAAATGGCCAACTTTACGCAGTGTGGACTTGCCACCTGCAGTCATTTCTGTAGAATTGGTATAGTTGTAGTTGGTTCCTTACAGTTGAATGAATGTTCCCGTTGTTAAAGTGAGGAATCTGTTAAATAGAGATGCAAAACTAGGTGTTGGCTTTCCCCCTGCCCTCTTTTATAGACAATCTTGTTGGGACCCATGATGCCCCCATCAGATGTGTGGAATACTGTCCGGAAGTGAACGTGATGGTTACTGGAAGTTGGGATCAGACAGTTAAATTGTGGGATCCTCGAACACCTTGTAATGCTGGAACTTTCTCGCAGCCTGAAAAGGTAGGTACTTGATACTAACAGGAATTACTGTCCTGGCTGATATGACTGATGGGATGTGTATTGGATGAGAGGTCTTGCTCTTAGCCCGGAAGCCTTGATGCAGGAGCTCCTTTGTCACTACACCGGAACCCAGTGTCGGAGGAAATTGACTGGTTGTTGCCATTGAGGTGGCTGCACACTGATGATGACTGGCGAACTTTTCCTCCAGTGCTTGCTGTGCTTGTTCCAGAGGCCATTAAGCTTAAGTTAAGCTCTCTTCCATGCATGTTTTACAGTTTAGGACTAAGAATCGGAGAGATGCCATTTAGCAAAGATGGTGGGTTGTTTTGGGCTGGATTTGATCTCTCCAAACCAGGGAGTGGGGAGGCTCACTTCTTGTCCTCCTTCAGGCCTCCAGGTTTCCTTTGCCTTGACTGTTTAAGGAGGCGAAATGGCTTAAGTTCAAGTTAAAGTGAAAAAGGTGGTCCGGGTCCCTGGCTTTTTACTGTTTATTTATATATTTTTAATGCTCGTCAGCTGTAGTCCGAAGGCACTAGTGAATGAGGCTTTTTAAAACCGAAACTTGGTGCATTATTCTAACCTTTTGATCTGTGTGATGAAAGTGTAATTGAACATTTTTGCTGTAGCCTCATCAGACCTGATCAGATGGTAGTTCATTTTCAAGATGGATCGTTTCAGCAGCTTCAAGGTATCCCTCACTGGATTCTGTTTCCTTGGTGTCAATACACCATTCGGTGCCTGTTAGCCATCATTATATGCTGTAGTGCGTCCAAAGAGCCATTATTTTTGTCACATCACAGTTGAATCTACTCCTGGCAAGACCTTTGTTCCGAATAAAATAATTGCATTGTTTCTAGTTTTGATTTATGGTTGTGTGTAGCATGTTAAGAGCTGTGATAAATTGCTGACAGAATGTCATATAATGGACAGCCCCACTGAATCAAGCTGCTTATTGGTTCAGCCAGGTTCATTATGTCACTTTTTTTTAATACTCCCCTTGATAAATGTATAGACCTCGTCAGTGGCATGACAGTGGTTTCGCTTGATTTACGATCAGTGGGGACCGAAAGCCTGGCCAGACCCCTTGTGTGTCACCTGTGTAGTAAAGATTTAAGATAAAATTCCAGATACAATTGTTCCATTATAAATCGAGCCTTTTCTGTTTCAGTATTTTTATTTTAAGTTTGGTCCTTCACACATCTTTGGTTAATTTTCACATGATGGTGAACTGAAAAACAAAACAAAATGATGTCACATCCTGTCTTGATTGAGCTCCATCTATAATCGGTTTGTTCCAACCTTATAACTCCTTGTTTTTCTAGCTTGGCATTGTTGAATTTACAGGCTACATGGCCGCTGCTGCTGGGCCTTGCTTTGTCGAGCTTCACTCAGCTCTGTAGAGCTGTGGTGTGCACTTACTGGGCTGCTGCTGATTTGCCCGGCGGTTTAAATCTGCAACAGTGGAGAGATGTCTGTCTTTGTCATGGGGCCTTTTTTCAATTTGTCTTGTTCTGCAGGTTTCGAAACAAGAGATCAGATTAAACTAGTTGCTTTTGAATTGAAAGTGGTAATACAGAGTGCAGTCACGTATCTGAAGTTTAGGTTTAAAAATGATTTAGTATTGCGGAGAAATCTGTTTTTTGCCACCATTTTTATGGATTTGTTAGCCAAACTGCGCCCCAAGTGATGTTGGATGGGAAAATTAACCACTTTACATTTTGATTTCAGGAAATTCCATAGTTTGCTAGGAAGGACTTTATCTGGAAGCTATTTTAATCTTGAAAAAGACATTACAAAAGGAGAAACACACATTTCCAGGAGAATAATGCTATAAGGTTTTTTCTTTAACGATGAGTTTCTGTCTTTGAATGTGAATATGACCCCAGGGCAGAAGAATATACCAGTCCCCATTCTGCTCATTACATTTTGACTCTGCATTCCACCTGAAACAAGGGGGCCGCTAATTAATGAAGGCTCCCTCTTTCTTGAAAGGCCTGTTGACTCAGGGTGACAGCTGAGGGAAGTGGGCAATTTTGAAAGCGTTTCCAAGTGATGTCTCCTTCCACAAGTGCGCGTAGGAAAGTAGACCTTTCTGAACGGCCAGAAGCTGGTGGGGATGTGTCCTGACGCAGTGTATACCCTGAGCTACTTACTCTTTCACAGTTTGTGTTAAACACCCACTGCCTCTGAGACACAAGCAAGCAAGGCAGGAAAATTTAGTTCAGTAATTTAATTTGTTTTGGGAATGATGAAAATGGAGTGTTGCGTAGCGCCTAACTAGAATGAATTATAGCGCACGTTACACAATAATGGTCAAGTATTAGGGGCACCTTGACTTGTTATTTGTGAAATACTTGTTATGTGTAGCTAGCATTTAAATTTTGATAACTGCGTTTGGGCGTCTGATCAGCTAATTTTTAAATTTTAATGGCTCCATGATTTTGATGCGCTCTCTGTTTGGGCAAATGTTTCCTTGTTCGCAAAAGGCTTGTAGCAAGTTTGGATCTCTCTCCAAAGGTGTACACCCTCTCCGTGTCTGGCGACCGGCTGATAGTGGGGACGGCGGGCCGCCGAGTGCTGGTGTGGGACTTGCGGAACATGGGTTACGTGCAGCAGCGCCGGGAGTCCAGCCTCAAATACCAGACGCGCAGCATCCGGGCCTTTCCCAACAAGCAGGTACCAGGCCCCTTCTGGAGTCTGAGGATGGAATGATGTGGTCACTTTGGTGTTTTGTTTTTGAGTTGTGATTCAGAATTTACAAAAGTCTTGCAGAGAAGCCTCACTGAATCTTTTCACTACCATTGTGTCTGTGTGGTAACTCCATTTTGGAAATGACTGGCTGCTCAGAGAGGTTAAGTAATTAGCCCAGGCTTGCCCAATGGGTTTGAATGGGGGCCTTGTTCTTCCTGGCCCCAGATGCCTGATAGGTACATGATAATCGAAGAGAGTTTTGCAGATATTTCCATTTATAATCCAGTGGAGTCAAATTTAAACATGGAAATTTGTACTTACGGATTTTGCTGCCCCCTCCCCCCATGTTTCTTTGTAACCCTGAAATGATTGAATTCTTTCACCAATCTGACTGCAGAACTCGGGTTTTTTTTTTTTGAAGAGCACCATTGAGATGGAGATAATGAGTCCGGGCTGGGTCCCCATCCATCACCACTACTGTCAGAGATTAGCCTGACCCCCAAATCCTGAGCTTCTAGGGGGAGTGGGCGATGGGGGCCAGCATGCAGTTAGAATTCCCTAAGAAGCCATTCTGTACACCAGCTCTCCTGGGAACCCCGTGACTGTCCCTGCAGTGGCTCCCGTGGCTTGGAGCAGTGAGGTGGTTGGAGACCACGTACAGCAGTTATCGCCTGGGCTCTTCTGCCGCAGAAGGCCAGTACTTCAAATGATGACCACAATTCTTATTCAGCAAGTTGTAAATCTCTGTAATATAAGGTATTCCAGTTCCATGGGACTTTTTGAGGCTAAAACACGCAATTAAGCTTCCCCCATGAACATTGCTATTGACTGTAGCCTAAAATTTCCCAGAGAACTCTTTTTTTCCCCCCCTCTAGCATAGACTGAATCAACCGCTGTGCTAAATAGGGTGATCCTAATGTTTCTCACGCTCCGTAAGTGCTTTTATTTCGGGGCTGTATCTTGTTCAAACCTTGGCAGATTAAAAAGCATGTATGAAGACTAGAGTTTGCATTTTCTGTATCTTGTACTGCCTTTGGTATATTTGTGTATTTGTTATTTCAAGAAAAATGAGGAAAGGTTTAGAAGAGTGAGCCAGGTTTAGTTAGATGGTGGATGTGTGTCATGTGTCCCCAACCCCCAGTGAAGGAAAGAATTCTTGCAGTTGTTAGAAGTAAAGAGGAATTATGGCAAGTTTGGATCTCTCCAAACAGAAAGAATGGTGTGTGAGCTACAGCAGAGTGTGGCGTCCCCTTCTGACTAGAGTAACAAATAATGATTCTGAAACACTTTAGAGTTCTTGCCTGTTAGACAAAGTGCTAGAAATCATTGCTTGCAACATGTGAAGCACTACTGGAGGAGGCAATGGACAGACAGATTTTCATTTTAAAGACAGATTAGTATTACATTCTTGAAATGTTCATAGCTCTGTCAGCGCTATTTGGCACTTGGCGAGAATTTCACTCTGTTCTTTTTGATTTTGAAGTAATCGTCTCTCTTTTAAGGGTTGAGTCTGGGGTCAGGGCTTTGTGTTCAGAAACTGGCCTCACTGTGTGTGCCCTTCCCTGGCAGGGCTATGTGCTGAGCTCCATTGAAGGCCGGGTGGCGGTGGAGTACTTGGACCCAAGCCCTGAGGTGCAGAAGAAGAAGTATGCCTTCAAATGCCACCGGCTAAAAGAAAATAATATTGAGCAGATCTACCCCGTCAATGCCATTTCCTTCCACAACATCCACAATACCTTTGCCACAGGTAACGACTGGCACGCTAGCCTCTGTCTAATGACTAGGGTAACCTCCGTTTCCCTTCGCATAGAATGCTGAGCATTTGAACTAGGCAGAACGGGAAAGACAAACAGACCAGACTTGTTCTCTGTAGTAGTGTTGGGAGGGCATGCGGGGGAAAAGGTGACGTCCGTAACTTAAACTCTTTGTGAAGATCATGTTGGCTTGTGTATCTGTGGTATTAAGAACCCTATAAACAACTGAAACTCCCTGCAGGTGGGTCTGATGGATTTGTAAATATTTGGGATCCGTTTAACAAGAAGCGATTGTGCCAGTTCCACCGGTACCCCACCAGCATCGCATCCCTTGCCTTCAGCAACGATGGGACCACGCTGGCAATAGCATCATCATACATGTATGAGATGGATGACACGGAGCATCCTGAAGATGGTATCTTCATTCGCCAAGTGACAGATGCAGAAACAAAACCCAAGTGAGTATGCTTCACCTGTGTTTGAGCCTTTTCTTGCATTCCACCCAGGATTTATTAATTTTTCTAAAGTCATGAATAGCATTGCTGATGCCTGCTCGATACTACTGCTGGCTGTAGGGCTGGTGTTGATTTTATCTTGTTCTCCCAAGCTTTCAATATCCGTGGGCTGATAGACGGCTGGTGGATAAAATGGTGCCCAGTTGTGTTGCAGAGAAGAAAGTCAAACTCTCATTCTTCTTGAATAGGCACTATTATTTGAATCTCTGCAGTCATTACTAGCTCATTGCTTCAAAATTAAGTTGAGGAATTCAAGAATAATTTACTTGAGCAAATTCTATTTAAGAATTTGAACTGCCAAAAACCCTCCCTCTCCACAGAGGTTATTTCTCTAATATGTACACAGCATGAATGACCTTCAGGTCACCCTGCACACGCTGAGTAAATCTGCTCTTGTCTGGAATGGCAGATTTCCTGACTTTGGAAATTTTTGCTGATGCCCAAGGCTCTTGGTCGTAACTGTTGACCAGGAGAGGACCATGGGCACTTTTGGACACCCCCCCCCCCACACACACACACACACAAAATAGTGTCTTGCTCTCTTTCACTGACCTAACTCCCCCGCTGAGGGAAAATGGACCCGGGCATGCGATAAGCCGTAAGATACTGACGCCAAGGGTCTCTGTCCATTTGGTGGCCCCTCTATTTCCAGCCCCTCAAGGGGTGGTCTCAGTAAACATCTATGGCATAGCGGAGTGTAGCAGAGGCCTAGATTCCCTCTGGGTAAGCATGGGTGTGGTACGCTCTGAACTGGCTGGAGGGCCCCCCCCTATCCTTATCCCCAGGTGGCAGAGTAGCTAGTCTTCCTGTCATAGCCTGGGCTCTAGAGAAGACTTGGCATGGAAGCCTCTTGGCGGAGGGCCTGTGTTTGCATGTCACCACTTGTGTGTGTCTCGTCCCGGCCATTGTGATCGCATTCTGCTCTTCTTTCCTTTTGAACTTGTAGGTCACCATGTGCTTGACAAGATTTGATTTACTTAAGTGCCATGTTGATGATAATAAAGCAATTCCTACTCCCCAGTGGTGGATTGATTATTTTTAACAAAGAAGCCAGGGGAAAGTACTACCTTTAATATTATAAAACCTGAAAATAATGGAAAAGAAGTTTTTATTGCCCCGCCCCCCACCCCACCCCCTTCCCCACAATTTTCTTTTTTTTAAAACACCTTAAATACATGAGATGGGTTGAAGGTTTGCTGTACAAGGTTTTGGGGCAAATAGACCAGGGGCCAGTGACTGGTGATTTCTGTGTCCCCTATAGAAATGAATGTTTGTAAATACAGCCGGCTTAGACCTCTCTCTTCCTGTCTTCCGGACCTCAGCTGGGAGGGACAGGCTCCGCTTGTTGCTCTCGCTGGTTTTCGTGGCTCAGTCTGAAGCTGCTTCAGACTGCCTCATGAGGAGGTTAATCTGCAATTAAACAGCATTTCCTCTCGGCCGGCTGATGTTTGCTGAAGCAGATGGTTCATCATTTCCTGGGCTGTTAACAAAGCGAGGTTAAGGTTAGACTCTGGGGAATCAGCTAGTTTTCAATCTTATTAGGGTGCAGAAGGAAAATGAATCAGAAAGCCTCCTAACATCATTTTGTGACTGGAAACAATTATTTATTAGCAAACAATTGATCCCAGAAGGGCAGATTGTTTGAGTCAGTAATGAACTGAGAGAAGACAGAGCAGATTTGTGGATTTGGAAAATAATTGTAACGTAATTGCAGTACATTTAGACAGGCATCTATTTGGACCTGTTTCTATCTCTAAATGAATTTTTGGAAACATTAATGAGGTTTACATATTTCTCCTGACATTTATGTAGTTCAGTGGCCCAGCGTTGGGGCTGAAGGTTCAGAAGGAAAACCATGATAGTTAGTGAGGAGCCTTTGTCTGTGTCGAGCCTGAAGCAGAGTGTGGTCTCAGCCAGGCCGACTCTAGGGAGTCCCATGTGGCAGCTTTGGGCTTAGGCCTTTTCTTTTCCGTTTATTTCATTATTTTGCGAGTGTATGTATGTGAACAGGACCCTGGTCCTTTTTCCAGAACGGAGTTTGTTGATCCCTGATGTCACTGTTCAAAATGCTGCTGACGCAGACATCTGCCCTGTTTCCGTATCTGGGGAAATGTCACTGCAAACACTTTGAATCTGAACCCCCCTTTGAAATGTCTTTTCTTCATTGCAGGTCTACCTAACCGTCCTGTGAAAGTGGTCTCTCTGTGGAAAGCTTGGTTTGCGTGCTACAAAGACATGATTACCCCCTAAGGGATGTGGCGTAGTCCTTGGGGACACATTGTGTAGTGTGTGGATTTCTCTGTTTTCTGTTGTAAAAAGAAACTTGCCTGTTACCATGTGCTACAGAATGCTGTTTTAGGATCAGGGGTCTTGGTATTCTTGTGCAGGGGTCTGAAGAATTGTTCCGTGTGTCCCTTACCTCTTGCCACCCCCACTCCCACCCCTGCCCCAAGCCCAAGGCTCTTTCTGTTCTTTTTGTCACACCATCTGACTGGTTATTTCTGTGCTGTCTAATAAATTGAGATTCAGAACCCTTCAATGCTGGATGTTTATAAACATTGGTAATGAATGCAATTTCCTACGTACAGAGGCTTCTGTAAAAGCAATATCCCCTTAATCAAAAGCGGGTTGTTGGTGGTGGGGGGGTATTTTGCCTCTTGCCACTGGGGGGACTGCGTGGCCAGTCTCTCCGGCTCTGATGGGACACTGGGGTGCAGCCCTGGGGACAGGGAGCTGTTGGAGTCCTGCCATTCCCCTGACTGGACCAGCTGTACCCTGGGCAGCCACAGAGGGCATGGCAGCCGGCAGATGCATCCAGGCATGACCCTCCCACTACTGGCCACACAGCAGGCGTCCTGCCACCAAAGAAGTCTCCACAGGCACCCAAAGGGTTGCCAAACAACAAGACCCCCTCTGTGCTGATCCAGGCGAAGCCCTCGGGGTGTAAACAATGCCACTTGCCTCTGCACTTAGCCACCCATTCAAGGTGCTGTGAAAACAAGCAGTATGACAGGTGGAGCGCTGTGAGGTGTCCCTGAGCCTGGACCATCGCACAGGTGCCGTGGGGCCTAAGGCCCAGTGGGCGTGGCTGGTGCTTCAGTTGCCCTTTTTGTTTAAAGAACGGTAATGATGATTGACTACAGTGGGGGGTGAGTGACGAGGTCTTTTGTAGTGCAGGCCATGTGGCCGCAAGCCTGACCAAGGGGACTGAGAAGAGGTAATGGGGCCAGGTTATTGTGAAGTGTGAGATCTCAAGATAATTTCATCAGTAGGGACTGTAGGTATCTTAAGTAACTCATTATCATGGTTCTGTAGTCAGACTGTTTGCAGCCCTTAGTAAGTGGATGAGAGACGAGAAAAATCTTTAAAACATTGTATAAAAGAACAAGATACCATCAAAGGGCAAATTCAAGCAACGTTGTAGCTTTTCTTGGCAAGCTCAATGTAGGGTGAGCATTGTAGGGGGTCCCTTTGGACCCAGCTTTTCGCTCTGCTTCCCCAGGTGTTACTGGCCCCGCTTTTCATGAGTCGCCCAGACCTGAGTCACCCAGGTGCCTGGTGTTTTTGTTCGTCTCCCTTCTCCAGATGTCCTCCTTTAGTTCCCTTTGCCCTGTGCTCTTCTTCCTCTGCCCGGCCTTGGCGCCCTCCTGGATGCAGCTGAGGGCAGCAATTTGTAGCCTCCGTCCTCTGGAGGGCTGCCTTGGGAGCTTTTTACCTGCAACAGATTAAATGAGTTCCTTCAACTACTCAGACCACTCCAATTCACATTGTAGCTTGGGCATGGATTGTATGCTTCGTATTTTGTCCTCAGTTTGGGCTATCTTCAAATTAGTGCCTTGAACAAGTTCAGTATCCCCCAAACAGAACTACACCCCCCTATCTGCTGCCCAC